AAAGAAGGCTGGTGAGAGTAGGGCAGGTTAAGGCAGCTTATGTCCTTGTAGATGCAAGTTTCTATTTTAGCTACTAGGTATTTTCTTTGGTTTTGTTTTGTTTTTTAATGTGGAGCTGGTAGACTGTACCCCAGTTACTAGTGAGTAAAGTTTTAGCTGTTAAGTGCCTGTGAGCACTAGTTTCATTGACTTTACCTTAGGGAAGTGGTTCTCAGAACATGGTCTGAGAGCAGCATCAGCAGCACCATCATCTGGAGCTTGCTAGAAATGCACACTCTTGACCATCCCAACCTCCTGAGTTGGACACCCTGAAGGTGAGCTTTAACAAGCATTCTGTGCTTCTAGTACACACTAATGCATGAGTCTCTGGGGGACAAGCTGGGAGCATCTTGGCTTTGGGATGACAAGGATTACTTTAAATGTGTCCTCTGCTTTAGCATTGAGTTTTTTATTTCCCTCAGTCCCTCCCAAACAGCTACCACCATATCACTCATCTCAAATTCTAGGTTTGTCTGCCTTCCAGTCTAAGCTATAAAATGTTTTTCTGTGTTATTCTGGACAGGACTTACCATATTCCCTTGCAGGCTTCTCGCTCTGCATTTTTGGTTACATTAAGAACCAGCAGGAATGCCAGAAGTGGTGGGGCACATCTTTGATCCCAGCACTTAATAGAGGCAGAGGCAGGAGAATCTCTATGAGTTCAGGGCCAACCTAATCTACAGAAGGATTTCAAAGCCATCCAGAGCTACACAAAGACTCTGTCTCAAAACAAACAACAAAATCAGCAGGCGCCATACTTGTCCAGTTTCTCCCTGTACACGTGCGCTCGCTCACACACACCTCTTTCGGGCAGGGAGATTAGCCTCCATTCCCACAGTGGAGTCTGCTACATCCTGATAAAGTGTCTGTTGAGAAGAAATGTGTATCTATGAATAAATATATCTCTGTTCACCTATATATTTTTGACATGTAGCAATACCTCTCCATCCTCAAGGAGCTCAACCCAGTCTGGGTCTCCCAGGCTCCAGTGGTAGACCCTGACAGGTGGGAGGATGCAGTGCTATGGGCTGTTTTGTTACAAGACTGTCTTTTCTCCTTTCCCTCTACCCAATTCAGCATGACCCCTGTGAGCAGGCTCTCACAATCTCCTGGGACGGGGCTGAGGCAGGAGCTTTGAGCTCATCTCCCTAACCGTCCCTTCTTACTTCCCCCATGCCATTTAGTAGTTATCACCCAGCCTTACCTTCTCCCTCCGTCCTTTGCCCTGACATATACTGTGCCTTATTTATGCTGCAAATATAACATTAAACTATCAAAGAGAATCATTGGTATGTTTGGTGCTTCCCTGTTCAGACCCATGGGGCCCCTGGCCACTTCTGATGACTAACTGGGCTTTCGTGTCTGATCATCCTCTCCCTTCTTTGAACTGCCTCAGAGACAAGGCATCACCAGAAAACTGACTGGAAAACTTAATGTGTGTTCCCTTTAAATGGGGAATGAGAGTGCCTGAAGACCATGGACTTCTTCTCTGTCAGTGTTTTGTTACCATCTTCTTCCAACATTTGAAAGAAAGGAAAGTTCCAGCTCTCAAGAAAAAGACTGGGGAGTGTACACAGAGACAAGTCAAGCTTTCTATAGAGGAGAGAAAGGGCTGGAAAGATGTGGTTAGGACTACATACTGTTCTTGCAGAGGATCCAAGTTTGGTTCCTACATCCATGTTGGTTGGCTCACAGCCACCCTCCAGCTCCAGGGGACCTGATGTCCTCTCTTCTGGCCTCCATAAGCACTGCACTACCTGCACAGCACCCTCCCAACACAAACACAGACAGACAGACAGACACACACACACACTTAAATAGAAGGAAAAAATTAAAAAGAGGAAAAAGCCTGGCAACGTGAGGTAGATCTGTTTGGAAGCAGATGAAAGCTTACAGGTAATGAATGCTTAAGGGTGAAGAAAGGAACAAATGATCTACTGGTTCCTCTTGTGTCTGTGTATTCTTTTTATAATTACCATTGAAAGTGAACAGTGAGACATAACAAAAGACAGAACAGGCACCTCTGAAGTTCCTGGTAGGACAGATCCCAGAAGTGGATACACTATTGTTGGTCCTCACTGTGTAGGGCTGGCAAGATTGCTCAGCAGTAAAGGTACTCACCACCAAGCCTAAAGACCTGAGTTTGATCTCTGGACCCATGTGGTGGAAGGTGAGAACTGACATATACTCTGTGGAGCATGTGTCTCATCTCACCCCCAGATAAATGAATAAATAAAAAAGGGGAGCACATAGGAACTCAAGAAAGAAAGAACACTTGGGAGAGGGGCTGGAGAGATAGCTCAGTGGTTAAGTGCTAATCTTCTAGAGGACTTGGGGCAGCTCACAACTGTCTGGAACTCCAACTCCAAAGTATCTTATTCTGGACTGGCTTCCTTAGGTACCTGCACTCACATACATGAGTGCAAACATCCACACAACTAAAAATAAAAATAAGTCTTTGAAAAAAGCCACAGGCCAGTCTGGTCTATATATTGAGTTCCAGGCCAGGGCTACAAAGTGAGACCCTGTGTTTCTTTATTTGGTTGATGGGTTGATTGGTTAGTTGGTTTTCCAGACAGGGTTTCTCTATACAACAGCCCTGGCTGTCCTGTAATTCACTCTGTAGACCAGGCTGGCTTCGAACTCAGAGATCCACCTGCCTCTACCTCCCTAGTGCTGGGACTGAAGGCATGCACCATCACTACCTGGCTGAGACCACGTATTTCAATCAATAAGAAGTCTGGGAGTTGGGAATCCTAAAGCAAGACAATGAAACAGGTTCGAAGGATTACGTTATGTTGAGGTGGAGGTGCCTGCTCCAGTTAGAAGTCAGCTGCCTTCTTTCTGAATGCAGCTTTAGCCCAGACCCAGCAGTGTGGTACCCCAGAGTGACTGCTCTGTTAGTGGTCCAGTGGGATTGGTGTGTATTCCCACTATTTACTATTCATGACAGCCTCTTCATGACAGGAACAGTTAGGTTTGTTGTTGTTTAGGAGATTGTACTCACAGCCTCCAGCATGCAGATTGCTTCATTTTATTGAGGATAAATTGAAGTTTATAGAAGTCACAGAGTGAATTACAAGAACAAAGGGAAAATGCTGAACTCCTGTTGGGCAGTCGCAGCACACACCATTATCCCCAGCACTTGGGAGGCAGAGGCAAGTGGACGTCAGTGAGTTCGAGGCCAGCCTGGTCTACAGAGCAAGTTCCAGGACAACCAAGGCTGCATGAAGAAACCTTGTCTCAAAAAAAGAAAAACAAAACAAAGCAATACTCCTGCCAGGTGTCTGTAATCCCAGCACTTGGGAGGCTGAGAACAAAGGCCAGGCCAGCAGCATACTGGGCTACATACAGAATCCCAATCTTAGAAAACCACAAACAAGCTGGGCATGGTGGCACAGGCCTTTAATCCCAGCACTGGGGAAGCAGAGGCAGGTAGGTCTACATAGCAAATTCTAGTTCAGCCAAGGCTAAGTAATGAGACCCTGTTTTAAACACACGTGAGAGAGAGAGAGAGAGAGAGAGAGAGAGAGAGAGAGAGAGAGAACCAAAACAACAAAAAGCATTAGTGAACTGTTAAGACATGACCATAGTGAATGACAGGTTTTATGGGAAATTATAGAATGTTCACCCAAGTCTAGGCTGCTCCATTAGATAGATGCACTGTATCTAGACCATCCAGATAGAAAACCAATCTAGAACTGAGGATACCCTTCTACAGTAGAGTCTAGCATACACAAGACCCTAGATTTGGATTTGATTCCCCAACACCGCAAAACTAACGAAAAAACACCTCTTATCTATAAAACTAAATGTAAACTGGTCACAATAAAGTACTGTCCCTTAAAAAAAAAAAAAAAGACAGGGATGAGTGGAATGTGTGGAAGGCTTTTTACATATGGGATGAAAGATGTTCTGAGACTCCATGGAACAAGCTAAGACTGCTGATGGAGGCTATCAAGAAGCTAACACCAGCTCGGCACAGGGAGAAATGTGTCCAAAGAAAGTCTCTGGAGATGGATGGTAAGTTCCCTGGGACTGGAGTGGGGGAGAAGAGCAAAGGTAATCACAGTTGACATTTGGAAAATACCAGCTCTGTGCTTTGCTACAAAGGGCATTCCAAATGCTTCTCATTTGTAAGTGAGGAAAGCAAGGCTGAGAGTGTGGGCGGCTTGCTTTGCTTTTGGCTAAGTCAGAACCCTGACGTAGTCCTTCAGTTTAGGCTAGAGGCATGGCACACTGATCATGTGCACACCAGGTAAAGCTAGGTGTGCTCCTTTGAAGGGCTCTTCCCTGACCTGGAGTGAGTCTGTCTTTCCCTGAAGCAGGACTCTATTTGCCAGCTCCAGTAGCATATTAGAACCAGAGCCAGGTGGAGGCAGTGCTGAAGAAAGGGCTTGAAAAGGGGAATGGTTGGATCTGACAGTAAAGAGTAGTGGCCACAAGGTGGCAGCAGAGCTTCAGCTGTGGAGTCCCATTCCCCCGTTCTCTAACAAAGATGGGCTGCCAATAAGACTCAAAAAGACTCCAAAAACCACCGTGTCCTGTAACTCACTTTACTATCCATAGGTAAATCCATGTTTAACCTCACCAGAAGGAGCAGGAATTGGAATGGGCTGTGATCCTGCCTGCCTATCCAGGAAATAACACTCAATCTAGTCAGGAAGAGTTGATCAATTGAAGTTCTCCAACCTGTTGAAAGATTGGGGATTCTTGTAAGGCCCCCCAGGGCCTAGCTCTGACAAACTGTCTGCAATTAATGATGCTTCCTGAGCTCTAGAGACAGGATTTATGCATCTAATAAAGTCTGTAACTCCAGGCTTAGGCTGAGGTAGGAAGCTGAGAGCAGAAAGTCCCTAGAGGGGTATGGGGTATGGGGGGGGGGATCCCAGGTGGCTCTTAATAGAGTCATGCATTCCTATTGCCTGTCTAGATTTCCCCCAGGCTGCTACTAAGTGGGGGTGGGGGACAGCAGGTATAAGAGGATGGTGTGCCAGTGGGGAGGTGGATGGCAGCATGGATTCCAAGCGGGTTGCTGTGCTGCTGCTATTGCTGCTGCTGCTGCTGGACTGGGGCCACACTGAAGAACCCGGAAGCCAAGATGGAAACCAAGTCTTTGCAGTGAGTGACCACCCTTCCCCATACCATTTCCCGCTCAGCTGAAACTTGTGACTGGGGGGGAGGGGGGTTGATATTTCCAGGCTGCTAAGGCCTTCATGAGGTATGGCTTCTACGGGAAATGACTCCTCTGCCTATGCACGTTGCCTTTGGAAGCCATCTTTCCCCCCATGTCTTCAGTGTCCAGGAAGACATTGCCTTTTCCCTTCCCTGTCACCTTCTCATCACAGGAAGAAGATGAGGGGCCCTACCTATCACAGTATGCTCAGACTCTTGAGTCCTTCTTGCGTTTTCTGCTACAGGCCAAGGAGAGACCTGGCAGGAGTCCAGCCTTCCTGTTTCAGCCCCAGAGGTGAGGTTCAGCAGGCGAGGCTGGGAAGGGTAGAGGGCAGAGGAAGATAAAACAGAGGGAGCTTCGATTGAGGATGAATCTCTCCAAAGGTTTGGCAGAAGTGCCTGGGGGTCCTGGAGCAAAGAGCAGCTAAGTCCCCGGGCTAGAGAGTTCTGGAGCCTGGCTGCCCCTCAGCGCTTTGGGAAGAAGTAACAGCCTCATCCTCTGTGATGTCTGCATGCAAAATCAACACCCTGTGTGCCACATGTCCCCCCAAATAAAATGGTCTGGCTTGTGAATCTATGTGTTTGGACAGCACTCAGGAAATGGGAGGAGCCCAAGGGCATGAAGCATAGCCCCCTTTACCTCCATTCAATCAAATTCCCTTTCTGCTGAAAGGGTCCCCAGCTCACTGCACCTAACCTGCTTGCAGCAAAAATAACAGGAAATCAGCAAAATAAACACACCATTTTTATTCCTCTGACAACCACATGACCCAGGGCCAGAGAAAGCAGTTAAGGAAGCCAAAGAGCAGCATTTATTCTGGACTCCAATAGAATTCCAATTTCCTTTTCATTCATCATCCATAGAATGAAAGCAGATCCTGTGCTGGCTGGGGTCCTATGCTTCATAGCTCCTTGCTTGCCTGTGCCTTCCTCAGTCTCAAGGCAGGCAGTCTGTGCCAGAGGTAGAGACGGCACCTCTGGAGGGCTCCGGAGCATTATTGCTGCAAGGGCCCGGGCTCAGGAGGAGCAAAAAGTAAAAGGCATGCATCCATCACTGCAGCCAGGGTGCTACTTGCTCCCAGCCATGATCCTGAGGTACTGTAGGGCACGGCGAGCAGCCTCACCTCGGGCTGCCTCCCTGGTGGTTGCAGAACCATGACACACAGTGGCTGGCTGAGTGGACAGTTCCACTAGGCATTGGCAGAGCCCACTCAGGCTCAGTTCTTCTAGAAACCAAGAAAAGAAAGGGGAAGCAGTGGGAGGGGGTACCAAATAGGGCTTATGTCACCCATCTCCTAACCCATTTATACTAGCTCTGGTCCTGCCCCTTCCACCCCCAAACCCCTAGCTGTCCATACCAATGTCCAGGTAGCTGACATGGAAAGCCTGCTCCTCAGAGAGCTCACTGAGGACACTGCAACAGGCAGAGCCCAAAGTCCCTAGAGAGCCCACAGAGCAACTCCGAAGGGACAGGATCTTTTCTCCCACAGAATTGCGCAGGGAATCCCAGGTGCAGCCTGGCCCCCGGTTCCGAAGTCCATCCAGGCGGGAGCTCACACCCTAATGAGATGAGAGTAAGAAAGGGCTAAGGACTGTGGGACCCAAGGCTCTGGCATGCTCTAACTTCTGCAATCTGGTCTAGTCGCCAGGCAGCCTTCCTCACCCCAGTAAAAGTTGCCTACAGGGGCTTCGCCCTAGGTGAGCTATCACCAGTGAGAGCAGAGCAGGTTGAGGGGCTGCTGGGTTCACAGGTTCAGGAAGCCCTGTAGTTTGGTAAGAAGCAGGTCCACACTCACAGACCCAAACCAATCCCCACCATGTCCTGCAGTGTGGACCACACAGCAAACCCACACAAACCACTTACAATGCAAAAATGATCGTCATCAGGTTCTGCCTCGTTGCCATCCCGGGCGTCCAAAGGTACTGTGTGCACTCGAAGCAGCATTTTAGCAGCTGCATTACGCTTTGCCAACTTTTTGGAAGTGCCACTGCCTGAGTGTGGGGAAGGATTGCTGGACTTGAGGATTTCTAACAGGCCAATGCGTCCCCTCCAAGTTACACTTAGATTGAGGGTCCCTCAGTGGGGTATCACTGCAAAGAGGAACTGAAGGCCTGTCTGTCCTTTTCACTGAGAAGCTGGTGGGCCAGAAGAGAAGGGGAAAGATAGGCAGGAGCAAGGAAGACACAGGGAGTAAGAGCTGAGCAAGGGGCTGCAAAGCAAAGAAAGCTGGAATAGAACACAGCTAGGCAAAAGCCACCTCATGCTCAGGGTCAGAGTGAGGCAGAAACAGGGTGCGTGAACTCCATCCCGTTACCAATTTCAATGAAGCGCTCCACCCGGCAGGTCATGGTGAATTCTTTGCGGTGAGCAGGCCCAGACTCCTGGGTCACCATGTACTCTGGCAAACGCCAGCCTTTTTGCACCACAAGTTCCTTGAAAGGGAGACACAGGGAGCCCAAGGCTGAGTGAGGAAAGGCTCCTTAGCCACATGGCCTTCTACCCAGGAGCCTCAGCCTTTGGGTGAGAAAAATAATCATCCCTCCCACAGTACACACACCCCTGCCTCACACAAGCCCTAGTTTAGGGAAGACAGCACACACGAAAATGAAGATGAGGCACACCTGCAGAGCACCAACAGGATTGCACTCAGACTGCTGAGGGGAGACAGGGGGCTGCATCTCCACGGGAGGGCTCCTGAAGGAAAAAGAGCCCAGACCAATGCTGAGGGAAACAGGTCCTTCTGGGCTGGTCATGGGCTCAAGTACCAGCCACTGCCACCATCTCCCAATTTCTCACCAGGCAGGCAGCTGTATCAGTCCAAATACCCAGCCTTGCTCCCCATACCCCTCTCCCCATCAAGCTAGCCCCTGCTAGTTCCCAAGAGCATTCTGATGTGGAAATACATAAGCAGTATCCCTATGACAGAGGTAAAGGGACTGTACAGCCAGTCCTGGAAGTACCTTCTGGGTCTCAAACACCGGCTATAGCCAACTCAGAAAATGGAGCCTGTTTAAACAATCTAACATCCTTCACATGGCTATTTAAATCATAACTACCTATCTCAAGCTTACCAATGAGCTGGTACAAATTCTTCAATTCTTCCATTCTGTGTTTAATTAAAGACTTCGTTATCCTAACCTGCCTGGGTCCAAGGGCTATGAAGCTAGGGGCCTCCTTCCCTCTGAGAGGTCAGGGAACTCAAGATACCTGGTTAGTATAGCAGATGGAACAGGGGTAGCAACTTCTGCAGCAATGACAGGAGTGTCCTCAGGCAGTGAAGAGTCTAGGAGAGAAAAAGAACTTCCCAAGGGGAAGGGCGCCTTGGATTCACACCCATGTAGAAGAGAATAGGGATATGGGGTCCTTATGACCTTTCCATCCCAAGAGAATTCCTTCCCCCTGATCCAGACTCAAGAGAGCCTCAACAGCCCTTCCTCCTGGGATGCTCTGCTGACCCACACTCAAAAGCACTGAGCCTGGGGTGTGGGTAGGGCTCAGAAAAGAGAGTTTCTTCCTACCCAACAAGCAGCTCCAACTTGAATGTTGCTAGAAAGGGGGCATTTGGGGACCATCGGCCTTATCAGCCTTAGTCTCCACCCTCTTATGTGCCCAGAGTAGCCACCACCCATCAAGGGGCTATTGCCCTAGAAGCACCCTAGAGGAAAGGGGCCAGGTCAGCGGCCATGAGTCACCAGGCCTGGCTTAGGAAGGGAAGTAGGTGGTGAGAAGGCCTGGTTCTCAGAAGGGCTTCTAGTATGCCTTGACTGGTCCTCCCTCACCTGCTGTCCTCCAGGGCTGGTTCCAGCATGCTCCCCCCTTTGAGGTGTTTGAGGGCCACCTCAGCTGCCTTGTGCTTGGCTGCCTTCTTGCTGGGGCCCTGACCTAAGAAAAGGGGTGTGGGCAATACTGGAGGTCACCAGCAGGACAGCAGAGAATCCAGCCCCCACAGCCTCTCTTCTCACAGCCAGAAGGAGTGAACAGCCCTCTGAACAACCTCCCCTGCCAGACTGGAAGGGTTCTGCTGATTGCTGAAATAGCCTTTGTCCTAGTTAGCTTTAACTGTAACATGGCACAGCCTAGGGTCATCTGAAAGGACAGGCTTTACTGGGGAATTGCGTAGATCAAACTGGCCTGTGGACATGTCTATGGCAAACTGTCTTGATTGTTAACTGAGGTAGAAATCCAACTATTGTGGTATCATCCCTTGGCAGGTAGGCGGTCCTAATGTGGAAGCATGGAGCGCCTGCCATCTTCCCTGCTGTGCTTCTGTGGCTGTGAAGTGAGCTCCTTGGTCAGCTGTAGTGGCATGTGGGACAGCAGGCAGGCAGCAAGGATGAGTTTATTCTCTTTGCTTTGTGGATATGAATTTCTACCTTCCCCACAATGATGGCTGTAAACCAATCAAGCCTCTCCTCCCCTAAGCTGCTTTTAGTTAAGGTGTTTTATCACAATATAAACGGGCCTAGAGCAGCCCTTATCTTCCAGTTAGCTCCCATAATTAAGTCATACAAGGCAGAACTTCTGAGGTGTCTTCTTTTCCTCAGCAAAAGCACTTCCTTTTCCCTCAGTAAATAGGCAAAAAGACAACAAAGGATCAGTTCTAGATCAAAGCTCTGCTCTGCCACTATTAGGAATGTGCTTATGGGCCTGTCATTTAATTTCTGATACTAAACCCTTCATGCTCAACATGGGACATGAGACAAGCAGAGTGTGTGCTTGCTCCCCCAAATACCCATGCAGAGTTCAGTGTCTCATCTACTTTTCATCTAAGGTGCTAAGAGTAGCAGATCCCTGTGAGATTTCCTGTTCTCACCAGTGAGTCTCTCAGGTCCTATCCACCTTCAGATGGTGGCTTTCCCCCTGAAATATCTCCATCTCTCTCTGGCCTTAAAGGAGAGGACTGTGAAGCGATTCCACGATATTAGCCACGGGCCCTGTGAATGCACACCCCAGCCAGGCTGCCCAAGCCTTCCTCACCAGTGCAGCTGGTGTCGCCAACGGTGACCCGGAAGGTGAAATTAGGCTGATGGGCTTGGCCCTCGGCTTTGAGAAGGTCGTACACGGGCGTCTTTCCTATTCTGGTCCCATACTCCTGAAGAAGGCTGATCGGGGTCTTGCCCGGGTTGGCGGCCAGCATTTGCTCTATGCTGGGAGGGAGGGGCACAGACCAATATCACACTTCCCCTTTCGGCACCCATCTGACCAAACATTGTCACATTAGACCTAGCCACATTATAGGGTCCACGGATCCCCAGGCAGTATAGCATCCATTGACTGGGCTAAAAGTTAAGGTGCAGGAAGGAAGGCAAGGTCCTCTACCCCAAGGCAAGTGGAAAATGTACTGTTCTCAGTTAAGGCGAGAAAGCCCGTGCCGCAGTGCTGGCTGGACGTGCATTTCCCCCTAGCACAATGCAATTCGGAAACCCAGTACCCACCAAAAGCACTGAACATCGGGGCATAAAGCTAAGTAAGGCTCCAGTGCAGTCTGGGAATCAAGCCAACCCCACACTAGAGCTGGAGGCGGTGGCCACCGACCCAGTGCATGCCGGGAACCTCTGCCCACTACCCCAGT